TCATAAAATGCTCATAACAGTTTTATGAGCTCGCAGCAGGCCAGGTTTACACATGAAGCAATGTAGAAATAGAAATCTAAGGAAGCGGCTGAAGAGGCTCTCAACATAATAACAATGCCTGTCTCGGTAACTTTCTCAAAGCTCATACAAATTCAACACCAAGTATCCAATAGGCATTTACTGATAATGGCTTCCTAAGACACTTTCTAATTGGAACATTAAAAGGTCTGGCTAGACATAAGGATCACTCAAGCTCTTGGAAATGCACTAGAATTTTCAGTATAGTGGATATAGTGTATTCCACTTCAGAAAATATTTACTTGGTCATGCATCTTGCCAAGATTACAAAGGCAAATAAAACAGCCAGTGCTCTCTCGTAGTTTACAGGCACGACAAGAAAACATACAGGAAGTGAGTTTTCTGTGTATATATGAGGATGATCCTTCCCTTTGGGCTGGAACAAAATAAAAGGAGGCTGACGGGGAGGAGATTCCCCACTTAAATTTTCCCCCTAGAGAGAGAAGACCAACTTATCTGCTCTCTGTTTTTTTTTTTTATTTTCTGCCTTCTTGGATTTAGAGCACACATACACACGTTTAATCTTTTTTTTTTCTTTTTGGGTCACACCCGGCAATGCACAGGAGTTACTCCTGGTTCATGCACTCAGGATCACTCCTAGCAGTGCTCAGTGGACCATGTGGGATGCTGGGAATCGAACCTGGGTCCGCCTTGTGCAAGGCAAACACTTGCCAGCCCCACATTTAATCTTTTTAAATTGTTTTGGGACCGTATCTGGAAATGCTCAGCAGTCACTCCTTGCTCTGCACTCAGGAATTACTCCTGGAGGTGCTTGGAATAAGGAATGCCAATATCAAAACCAGGTCAACTGTATGCAAGGCGAATGCCCTACCCACTATACTATAGCTCCAGCTCCACACACCTAATATTTTTTAATGGAAGCAAAGAAGAGCTTACCTCTAATTTAATGAAACAATCATTCTTAGGGGAACTTAAAACTAAAATGTTACAGAAAAAAATGAGTAAGGTATCAATACACTACTCCCTTTATCTTCATGTGACTAAGATGAACTTCTGCTTAAAATTGACCCCACTGAAAAATATTTATCACCTTTCCTGGGGTAATTCCTTCTCTGCCTATAATCTAACTCCTATAGATAAAACTAACTTATCTTTAGTTTTCAGAGGAGATAAATAGAAATTAATGCTCCATAAATGTATTTCACACACAGAATTTTTTGTTTAAATATCTCTCATCCTAGGGCAGAGCATGTCTGCTGGGTTCCAGGTATGATACATTTCCCTGGAATGATTTACTAATTACTAAGTCCCTCCTACAATGTAAAGGAGATATAACTAAGTCAGACTGAAGGCCGGCTTGGATGGCTAGTTGCTAATATACCAGGCACTCATTTTTAGGGTATCAACACAGGTTGTGATTCAGAGTTGCCATCCCATCCCCTCTGGCTTTACAGAAGCCCCGCCTTTAGCAAATGAGGGTCATAGTAAGCTGCTGCTTGAGCAGAGAGCAGAATTTCTCAGGCTGAATTGTGCATCACTGGTTAAAATACATTTTGGGGGGCTGGAGAGAGACCTAAAGGCATTGGAGTGCGTGTTCACATACAGGAACCCCAATTTCAGCTTGGTACAACCAAGCATGAAATGAAAAACATTTTTAAATTGCACATTCAGATTTCTTCTTTGCACACTCTGATTTCCCAGTCCATCTGTCCAGGGAAGGATCCATGAACTTGTATTTTTACTAAATTCCCACACATAATACCAGTCTGGTGAGTGTGGGAACCACACCTTAAAAATCAAGACAGGGACTGAAGAGATAATACAGGGATTAAGGCACTTGCATGCACACAGCTGGCCCATGTTCAATCTCTGGCATCACATATAGTCTCCGGGCACCACCAGGAGTGATCCCTGAGCACAGAGGCAGGAACACTGCCTGGCATGACCCCAAAACAAAAATGTAAGAACTGAAGAGTCAGTCAGAATAGCCTGACTGACTATTAGCAAGGACCCATGGCTAGATACTGTACCTAAAGTTACCTCATTGTGGCAAAGGGCTCCATTAAAAATAATGAAAAGCAACATGTAACTCCACCCATAAATCTTACTTCCCCTTTCCCTTTGGTGTTCTGGGACCAGGAACAACTCACACCAGATAGCCTTGTTTGCAGCACATTCTTTATTTTTTTAATTTTTATTAGTGAAACACCATGAGGTACAGTTGTAGACTTACAAATTTTTGTGCTTGGGTTTCAATTGTACAATGATCAAAAACCCATCTCTCCACCAATGCCCATTTCCCACCACCATGGGTCCCAGTATCCCTCCCATCCCCCATCCCCCCATCCCACCCTGCCTCTGTGGCAGGGTATTCCCTTTTGTTCTCTCTCTCCTTTTGGGTGCTGTGGTTTGCAAAAGAGGCACTGAGTGGCAATCATGTTTGGTCCATACTCTACTTTCAGCATGCTTCTCCCATCCTGGGAGGATCCTCCCAACACCCTTTATTTGGTGCTCCCTTCTCTATCTGAGCTCCCTTTTCCCCTAGAATGTGTGGCTGGCCTCCAAGCCATGGAGCAAAACTCCTGGTACTAATCCTGGCCACTCTTGGGTGTTAGTCTCCTATTTTGTTACTTTATGTCACCCAGATGAATGCAATATTTCTATGTCTATCCCTCTCTTTCTGACTCATTTCACTTAACATGATACTTTCCATGTAGTACCACTTGTATGTAAATTTCATGTCTTCATCTTTTCTAACAGCTACATAGTACTCCATTGTGTGGATGTACCAAAGTTTCTTTAACCAGTTATCTGTTCTCAGGCACTCAGGTTTTTTTTTCCAGATTCTGGCTATTGTAAAGAGTTTGCAGCATATTCTTCGTGGTTGCTGGGGAGACCCCGGGTAGTAGTGCCACAGCATTTTCACTTATCACGTTGTGTGGTGGCAGGGACCCAACTCTGACTTCACACCTGCAAGGCAGACATTCAACCTCTGAGTCACCCCAAACCCCAAAGCTATCATTTGAAATGTGTAGAATGAGACAAGAAGAGTCATTTCAAAAAAATAAAAAAAAGTCTCCCCCTCACTGTGCACCCTGGCCCTGTCCCAAAGCATGGAAAATGTCCTATAATGACGATGGAATCAGGAAGGTGAACCCACTAGAATCCAAAGGCACACATGTGTCCATCCTTTAGTCTTTGGTTTGGGGGCTGCACCATCTGTTCTCCCGACTTCACTCTAGCTCTGGAGCTCAGGGTCACACCTAGCAGGGCTCATGTGGTGCCCAGGACCAAACCTGGATCCGCAGCATGCAAGGTGAGCCCCTTACCACTTGTACCACTTACCCTCCAACTCTCCATGATCTCTTCCTGAATTATCCTAAAGAACTGTGATTGTCTAAGTTACTGGGAATCGAGTTGTGGAAACACAGTGTTCCAGCATCAACCCCACCACCAGTGCCTACTTCCCTCCACCTGTGTTCCTAAGACAGCCTGCCTTCTTGTCCAGGATACTTTCAAGTTTGGCTGCTGTAGTTTGAATCTCCTGTTTTCATTGTTTTTGACTGTGCTTTGTGTATGTCCTTTACATACCATCCCCCACATTAACAAAGTAGCTGGGCGGCCCCTGACCCCTGCTCCCCAGTTATTTCCCTTCCTCCTCCTCTCACTTACCCCCTCGATTTCTTTCCTTCTCCGTCCTCCCTAGACACTGGGCTCTCCCTCCAACATCTTTTTTTTTTTTTATTGAATCACCTAGAAATAGTTACAAGCTTTCATGTTTGGGTTACAATCACACAATGACAAAAGCCCATAAGTAGAAAGAGACTATGGGGAATATTGTCTGCCATGGAGGCAGGGGAGAGTCAGAAAGGGGGGATAGGAGGGTATATCTCCAACATCTTTAACTCCATCCAGGGCTTCTGCCAGCAGCGGGTCTTTCACCCTAGAGTGCTGGAGGCGACCAAAAGGTCTCTAGGTGGCGCAGCTGTTTAACATGTGTCATCAAGCCCGGCCCTGGACTTGGGTTCAGAGTGAACAGAATTTCCAAAGCTTCAGTAATACTGACGGCGATTGCCGCCGGCCCTCCTCCCGCGCCCCCCGCCAGCATCCCGCTCAGGTGCATGCATTGCAAATAGGCGGGCGCGGAGCTCAGCAGAGCGCATCCAGGACGGCCGTGGTGTGCACGGAAGCGTGCGTTCTCCGGGCTCTGCCGTCCCTCGGGGCGCGGGAGACGCGTGCAGGTTCCTCCCCCCACTCCCCTGTCCCCCAAATTTCCCACCCCGTAACTCCTGCGCAGTTTCGCACACGGGCTCGCTTGAAAACAGGAGGTCGCGCGTACACCACAACTAAGGTAGAAACAAAGGCGCGAATATAGGCGGGCGAGGGGTCCAGGTCTTTTTTTAATTTTTAATTTTTTAGATTTTTGCTAGTGAAACACCATGAGGTACAGTTGTAGGTTTACAAATTTTTGTGCTTGGGTTTCAGTTATACAATAATCCAATACCCATCCCTCCACCAGTCTTTGCGCCAGTAGGGTGAGGACTTGGGAGATGCACTGACTTTAACTAAACCCTGAGTTGCAGGTAATTCGCCCCCCCCCCCACGCCCTTTCCCCTGCAATAAGACGAAAGAAAAGAAAAGAGAAAAGAAAAAGAAAAGCCGCCCCAAAGTTCCCCCGCACGGCTCCGGGAGGCGTCGTGCCACCTGCACGGAGGCTGCTCCGAGAGGCCGCGCCGGGCTCTGCGCGCTCAGGGATCCGGGACGCGCGAAGGTCGCACCGCCAGACTCCTGGGGTGCTCCCGGATGCAGCGGGGACCCCCCGCGCGCAGGTAAAGGGTTACGCGTGGCGGGCGGCCGGAGGGCGGGCCGGGCACGTGACTCGCGGACCCAATGAGGGCGCGGGGCGGCCGCTGCGGGCCTCGGGTCCGGGCGCGGCGCGGCGCGGCGGGCGAGTCTCCGCACGGCCCGAGCCATGGGCGCCCCGAGCCCGCCGCCCTCGCCGCCGCCCCGTCCCAGGTAGGACGCGGCTCCCGGCCCCGCGGGACGCGCTCGGCCGCGGTGGTCCCCCGACTTCCCGGCAGCTCCTTTCTCGAACTTCATGCCCCTGTCGCCCGCGGGGCGGGGGTGGGGGTGGGGGTGGGGGACAGGTGATGACACCCGCAGCAGGTGTTGATCCTCTTGGGGACGGTCAGCCGATTCCCAGGCGCCTTCGGGAAGGGGTGTCCGGGAGCTGGGCAAGGTGGGGTGGGACTTGCGCCAAATCCCTGCCCCACGGAAGACCGTTTGGTGAAGCGCTTTTGTCACTAAGTGAACTTTCCAGCGGTTGCGTGAAGTCTTGAATTGGGAGGGGAAAAAAAAAATAAACTGTCGGAGTTTGATTTCTCGGACTCCGCCCTCCCCCCTTCTTCCCCTTTGCCCGCTTTTAAGAATCTTGAGTGTTGTTTGTTTAAATAATAAGAGAGATGGAATGCGACCGCCCCAGTTTCTCTGAAATGTCCTTTGGGGTCCCAGGATTCCTCTTCTCCCCGGGGTGCCGGAGAGGGGGAGTGAGGAGTGCAGGAAGGGGAGCTGCTGGGCGTGGTGGAGGGTGCCGGGTGCAGACAGTTCAATGGGCACAAATTTGGCTGTCTGCTTAATAATTAGGCAAGCATCTCTCAGGCCTCCGACCTTAGCAACCCCGGGGGGGGGGGGGTGAGATTTTTATTATTATTATTGTTGTTGTTATTATTATTAATTATTGCAGACCATCTACCAAAGAATTGTTTTTCGGTAATAGAAGGCAGAAGTCAATAGGGCCCCCCTCCCCCCACCCCTCCAGCTCTCAGCCTGAAAAACAAAGCTTCCCGTGAGTAACTCAGTTGACATTTTATTTTCCACCGGTGTTGATATTTGCCCAGTGATTTGGAGGAGGTCGGGGTTCCAGGAACGTTAGAGAAGAATGAACTTTTCTGGTGGTGGTTTAGGAGAGAAGTGAGGTGGGTAGGGGTGCTTCATCTTCTTCCTGGGCTGGTAGATGTCCTGGGTGACTGGACCTGTGCTGGTCTGAGGAGTGAAAGCTGGAAAAACGTTTGGGAGCTGGAGGAGACAACAGCTGGTAAGAGGAGGCTGCTGAGGGTTGGTTCTGCACTTGCTGCTGAGTCCTGCCTTTCACCCCACTTTGGAGCACGGGCGAGTGGTTAGCCTCTGGGGGTCCAAACGCCAGCGCTTATAGAACATCCTGATCGCCAACACAATCTTTGAAGCTCTAAATGGAGTTCTGTTGGGGGTTTTGGTTTGTTTGGGTGTGGGGGGCCACACTTGGCAGTGCTCAGGGCTTACTCCCAGCTCTGCACTCAGGGATAACTCCTTGGCAATGCTCAGGGGGACCATATAGGGTACCAGGGATTGAACCGCAGTTGGCTGCATGCAAGAGCCTTGCCCTCTAGACTATCTCTCCAGAGGTCTGATGTTTATATTTCTCTAAGTATGAATACTGTGCTAGGAAGCCGCCTGGCTCTCAGAGGATCCAGGGAGCAAAAGGACAAATCAGTTTCCTGATAAAGAAGGCTAATGTGGTCCACTCTCTTCCTTCAGTTTCTCAGTGATAAGCCCTTACCTACCTCCTGGCACCTGGTTCTTGAGGGTTCTTAAGATCTAGATACCTAAAGCCTTCCCAAGATAAAAGTGACCAATCTTATGTTTTAAGAGCTTTCACTTATCTGGAGGTTTTTTTTTTTTAACTTGCATAGCAACTAAATATGCTCCCTTATCCCTAAAACTGGAAGAATTCCCACGACTTCCCACCTGAGCTTGGAAGCCACAGGCTGTTCCAAAGGCAGCCCCAGCCAGGGCTGTGCAGTCACCACGTTCCCTGACTTACTGCTCCAGCAGCTCATCACCACAATACGTGGAAGAGTCTCAAACCCACCTCGCACCTGTAGAGCACACCAGATGCCCAGTCATGGCTGGTCCTAGCCTGGCTACTACCTGCATGAGAATAAAATAAAAATGAAGTTTGATGACTCCTTTCAGCCTTTTTAAGAATCTAAAGGCTCCCCTGATTTTGGGGTTCTTCAGAAGGACTCCGGGGCAGTGCTGGAGTATAGTACAACTATAGTTGTATATACTGGAGTATAGTACAAATAGGGTGCTTGCCTTGCACATGACTGACCTGGGTTTGAGTCCCAGCACAGCATATGCCCCCCCCCGAAAACTACCAGAAGCATAAAACATGGAGTAAGCCCTGAGCATGGCCAAGTGTGACTCCCAAATAAAAACAATGGAAGGACTCGAGATGACTCAAGTGATACTCCCCTTGAATATAGTTAAGACAGACTCACCAGATAAGCCTGCATCCTTACGGAGGGATGGGTGTTTGATCATTGTATAATTGAAACCCAAGCACAAAAATTTGTAAATCTACAACTGTACCTCATGGTGTTTCACTAATAAAAATTTTAAAAAAATAAAGAACTTAAGAGAAAAAAAATTAAAAAAAAATAAAAAGAACTCAGGAAAAGAACTCAGTGTCATAGAGCATCAGAAGATGTTTCCAGGCTGCAGTGACGGATGGTAGATGAAGGGTAGATCTGATCTCTTTGAGCGTGAGCATGGGCTTCTACTCTCATCAGTGAGCAGGTGGCACTTGGCAGTTAAATACAAGCCTGAGCTGACCTTCGAGATAGCCGGAGACGCCAGCGAGGCACTGGGGATACAGCCCCTTACACACCGGTCTCAGTCTTCATTGAAGTTCATGGAGGATTCTCAGATAAGATGTGAACTTGAGAAAGTTTTCTGGAGGGCTGGAGAAATAGTAGGGCAAATAGCGTGCTTGACTCTCACATATGAGACTCTGGGTTCTACCCCCAGCACCACACACAATTTCCAGGAAGTAAACACTCTCTATTTCATTGCTATACTTCCCTGCTAGGTTATCCTAGCGTCCCACATCATTGGCTTCAGCCACAGAAAAGTGTTCTGATTAAGCATGATCCAAATATGTTTCATGTTTTCAAAACCCCTATGCTTCTTTCTGTGGGCTTGAATATATACTGCTAAAGACAGAATAAAGAGAAATTGTCACTCTCTTACCATTCCCTGATAGAGCTTTACTCCTTCTAGGAATAAAATTACCAAGACTTTTGATTGTGTAATAGTCATGGACGTAGACCGTAGAACAGTCTTTAAAAAAAAAAAAATTGAAGTTGGCCACCATGTGGCCTGCAGTAGGTGAGTGTGAGGATAGTATCACGTTTGTGTGAGTGTTAGCATGCGTGCTGGGCTGGTGGGGAAGGGGAAGTCACTTTTTAGAGAGCAGAAAAGGCACCAAGGTCCTGTCACTGCCATGTGTCAGTATCTCATAGGCACCATTTGGGGCAGTATTTTTAGTGCACATTTCCTAGTCTCACAGTCTTTGCTCCCAGAAAGTTTTGACCCTTTTTTGTTTGGGGTGTTAAATCTCCACTCACACTCATTGCATCACCGAGCACTTACTGTGGGCTACTTAGGTGTGGTAAATCCAAAGTGATTCACACTTTGAGGTTATAAAACAGTTTCCCTGTGACCTAAGAGATGACTCAAAGGGCTGGTATAAATGCTCTGCATGCCAGGGAACCCCAAATTTGATGTCCCAACCATTGGTGTTGGTGACCTTAGTTACTCCCAGCACTGCTGGCCTGAACAACACTACATCCCTGCCTTCAGACTGACACTATCTTCTGAATATTGCTGGTGTGACTCCTGGGGCACCCTGTTGGGGAGTTCCTCCAAGAAAAATGGCCAGCAATATTCCCCTTGTTTGGTAATCAGAGAACAATCCCCTCAGCTCTCTAGGATTTATGTTGCAACCTAGAAATGAATCAAGAAATCCACTTGCACCAGCAAATAGTCAATCCCTGCAAACCAAGGAGATGTTCCAAATACTGAAGCACCTGTTTTGCATGTGAGAGCCCAGAGTTTGACCCCCAGCACCACATGGCCTCCTGAGCACTGCCAAGTGTTCCCCCACCCAATAAAACATTAAAATTAAAGGGTTTTATGTTTGCACTATTATGAAAGGGCTGGAGAATTTGAAGGGCTGTGCACATGCTTTGCATGCTTGAGACTGGGTTTGATCCCTGGCACTTCATTGTCCCTTGAGCAAGACCAGGAGAAATCCCTAAGTACAATGAGCACGCCCAGGTGTGGTTCAAACACTAAAGACAAACAGACCAAAAAGCTGCCTAGAATTTGATTCTCCTTAGGACCCCAATCACATGTTTTCTCTTGAGTTTGACTGAATTCGACTCTTTGGGTTCCTGATCCAGAGCAAAGACATCCAGCTTACCAGTTCAGTGAATGGGTGTTGCAGTCAGTATGAATGTGGGCACAGCCAGCTGGCACACAGGGATGGCAGTGCTGTGAAGGTTGTTTGTGATTAACCCCTAAGTCTGCAGCAGAGACAAATGGGCTTCAGAGCCATTTGTTAACATGGAATTAAATATGCATATTCCCTGAATTCATGAGAATCCCAAAGTTGATCTGAAACCAGAACTAATACCCAACTCTACATAACTATGACTTTTTTAGGCATGCGTATCTGTGATAAAGTTTATTTCACAAATTTAGTACAGCAATGGATTAACGACACCATGAAAATGTAACAGTTAATATGCTGTAAAGTTAGAAGAAATGGTGGCAGGGCTGAGTGCTACCAAGAAGCATATTTTAAACAATGCTCATATATGCTTGGGCGAAAAACATCTCAGTCTTGTGAGGAATTGTGTGAGAGGTTGCTTTATTCCTATTATTGTGAATAGGGTGAAGCATTCAACAAAGATTTTAATAGTTTGGTTTTTGCACCTGTGTTTGATTTCTAAAATTAATAGTTTGAGTATGATACTGGATACGTATTTTTTAAAAAAAATTAATCTATGCCCCCCCCCCAAATCTTGCTATTTAAGTTATTTGTATGTGCTTCCCCACCCCCACCTCCATTATACTGCCCAAGATAATACTTTTAACTGCAGGTTGATTGCAGATAACTGAAACAGCTAGCG